TTGGTTTTGTTGGAATAATGCCATTTCATTCGGAGTTGCAAAACTGACAAGACACTTTTGCCAGATATTGGTAACTAGTGTTGCTTAGGTTTTTACATCTAGCATTTAACCCTTAAGATATCTCAATGCTTTATATTTTTTATAGACCAAGATGTGGCTGTTATAAGAGGCAGCCAGAATCAGAAACATGGGAAAAGAGACTAAGGGAAGAGACTCCGGATTTCTTGTTTTTGGCAAAATAGCAAACAAGCAGGACTTTAAAGTTAACAACAATCAGAGCGCTAAAGTTTATTTTGTCTCTTTTAAGGCAGAGACTCTAAGCTGCTGATAGTTTTGAATATCAGAGCGAACCAAATCATGTCTGTGTTTGAATACAAGTGGCAGTAAAAGAGGAATTTGCTCTCATGCATGATACATCTATATATTTTTAATTACCCACACCTCCAGAATAAATCAAAGCCTATGCAAATATATCAGAAAGACATGGAATACACTGGCATGAAAGATAATTTTTTTAAAGGTATAGAAAACATCCACTTGTAAGAAAATTTATGCTAACATTATTGTTTAATCCTGGGATAAATTTAATGTTTATAAAGAGCAAGAATCAGGTGGTGGCATGGTTGTTGTGGCAAACTTGATGGGCTGGGATAGCTGCTAAAGTTGATTCTGAAACTATGTAAGTAACGCAGAAGTTGAAGCAGGTAGGTACAAAAAGAAACTGTTTAGCAAGTAAAAGAGTTGCAGATACTGGAAACTTAAATTCCTGCGAATGGTAAAGCTTAGTATGGTAATGGTTTAAGCTAGTAAAGGTAATATTTTAAAGACTAGGCAGGTAAGCAAAGTGGTATGCAACATGAATAACTGATAAACCACAGAGAGTGTGTTGGGGGTGTCCCCTTTCCTGAAGTCCATAACACTGCTCTACAGCCAAAATGCTTCTGAAATAAATGTAGTCAAACATTACTAATTCTGGGTCACTGAGAACGAAAATGATTTTTAAAATTGTTGATTGGCTCTAGTTTTCAAGATATGCTATTGGGTCAGTATATACGACCCTTGACTTGCGAATGGCGGAGGTTAAGTGAGTTATAAAGGGAAGGGATCTCAATTTAAACCAGAAATAACTAAAATACATCTTTGACTGGATCTATGAATAAATCTATGACTGGATTTGGACAGTACTTGCTTTTTAGGCAAAACAATGAATGATGCAATCTGAAGCTGGTATTGCGTCATACATGATATGAATTGCATCATGTTATTCCAAGAAGTCATGGATGATGCAATCATAATGAAGCTTACATCACTCTGCTGAACAAATTGCCCTATATCAGCTCTAGAAATCATACAGTGTGGTGCTCTCTTATTTGTCAGTGTTTGATTTTGCAAAGGGACACATTTCTGTTTAGCCAAAGTGAGCAGAGATGCCTTGTACTTGTGTGAACAGTGCAGATAACTTCTGCTATGTTTGTGGTGAAGTGACCTTTGCATCACAAAAGCGCAGTATAACTACTATGGTTAAGAAAGCCTATCACCTTTATTTTGGCTGCAAAATTGGAGATCAGGACAAGAGGTGGGTCCCACACTTATGCTGCAACACTTGTGCAACAAATCTTCGCCAGTGGTTGAACAGGAAAAGGAAATCTATGCCTTTTGTAGTGCCAATGATTTGGAGAGAGCCAACAGATCATACCAGCAATTGTTACTTCTGCATGGTGCCTCCAGTTGGGAAAGGTGTGTCAAAGAAGAAAAAGTGGACTGTGCATTATCCAAATATTCCATCAGCTATACGGCGAGTACCCCACGGAGAAAGGCTGCCGGTTCCTGATGCACCAGAATCATTCTCAAGTGAGTAAGATGAGGAAGAGGAAGAGGATGAAACTTCTGGTCCTGAACCATCAATGTCACAGGGCCCACATTTTCTCCCATCCTCCTCCTCTGAACCACACCTCATAACACAAGATGAACTGAATGACCTTGTCAGGGATTTCGAACTACCCAAGAGTAAGGCAGAGCTGTTGGGCTCCAGAGTACAGCAGTGGAATCTCCTGGCAGGTGATGTTAGGGTTTCCATGTTCCGTGACTGTCAAAAGGATGTTGTCCCATTCTTCTTCATGGAAGGTGATCTTGCAGCTTGCAACAACATCGATGGTGTGATGGCAGTCCTCAACATCGTTCACGATCCAGATGAGTGGAGACTGTTCATTAATTCATCGAAGATGAGTCTTAAAGCTGTTTTGCTGCATAATGGCAATGTTTTGCCATCAATTCCAGTTGGTCATGCAGTCCATATGAAGGAAACCTATGACAACATGAAACAACTTTTGAAGTGCATAAACTATAACCAACATCAGTGGCAGCTTTGTGGCGATCTGAAGGTTGTTGCTCTCTTGCTTGGTCTGCAGACTGGATACACAAAGTCCTGCTGTTTTCACTGCGAATGAGATAGTCGTGCAAGAGATTCCCACTACATCAAGATAGATTGGCCACTCCAACAGTTATTGGAGCCTGAGAGGAAAAGTGTTCAGCATCCACCACTTGTTGAATCAAGGAAGATTTTGTTACCACTCTTACACATCAAGCTGGGTCTGATGAAGAACTTTGTCAAGGCCATGGACAAAACACAAGCAGCTTTCAAGTACCTCCGTGGAAAATTTCCAAGGTTAAGTGAAGCTAAGATAAAGGAAGGTGTCTTTGTTGGTCCTCAGATTCGTGAACTTCTTCGAGATGATGCATTTGACCATGCACTGCGTGGCAAGGAAAAGACGGTATGGAAAGCCTTCCAGTTAGTGGCAATAAATTTTCTTGAAAACTACAAGGCAGACAACTACAGGTTGTTGGTGGAAAACCTCCTCAAGACATACAAAAGCCTTGGTTGCAACATGTCACTAAAGATAGATTTTTTGCACTCTCATCTAGATTTTTTTTCCACCGAACTGCGGAGCAGTGAGTGACGAGCACGGCGAGCAATTTCACCAGGACATTGCAATAATGGGGAACGCTATCAGGGCAAATGGAGCCCATCAATGCTTGCAGATTATTGCTGGACAGTGACAAGAGATGCTCCATTTAATGAATACAAGAGACAAGCCAAGAAGCGCCGAGTAGACACTGAATAGACTAAACTATGTACATAATAGTTTTTTGCCTTTTGTTTCATAATAAATTTTATTTATATAACCCTTTTGCTGATTTTTAAAGTGTTACATAAACTGGACAGGTGAAATATTATCATGTAAAGCAACCATAAACACATGAAAATACCTAGGTTTATAATTTATGATTAAAACTCTACTATCTACACAATATACATAAGCAGAAAATGTAAAAACTTAAATATCTTGGAAACAGTAGCCAATCAGTTGTTTTAATTGTCATATTTGAATTCAGCACATCAAAATACATAAGAAATAGCACAATTTATCTCTGAAGCAGACGACTTCTAAAAAATTGTAGACCAGTGTAATGGGAAACACACGAGTCCTCTCTGCTTTAACCCCAGGATGGGCTAGTGAACAGCCTGAATCTCAAGGCTAATGCCTGGAGACTGGGGGTCATCATTACCATGGCTGCAGGGCACACCTGTTGGGTCTTAATCTTATGCAACAACTTAATTTTTGTGCCGGGGTATATTTAAAACCCCAAGAATAGTTTTGTATTTTCTCCACAGATGCTGTTAATCCTATTCCCATGGATGATGGAAGCATTTGAAGGTCAACAGACTGTTATTTAAACAAGAACAAATGTAAACAAATTGCTGCTCCACATCTGATATCTGTCAACTTGACCTGTCCTTCCCGGCTCAAATACTGTATGGGGCAAGACCCACACTCCTGCATTATCATTCATCTCCTGACTGGGTGACTTGGACCACGGACAGTATATCTAATATCACCTCTGGAGTTACAGGCTGTATTTGGGTCTACCCGGAACAGAGCTCGCCAGCATCAATTTGGGAGTGTGAAATGAGAGCACCCTTGTCCCTCGCAGAGCTGGTAACCTTACCTTTGAATTCAACATCTCAGTCTGAAATAACATGAACTGGACGTAATGGGCAGAAGATACCAAATATGTTGCTGAAGAAGTACACAATTGGACGGGGACTGCATATAAGACTTATGATCATTCAGTGATAAATGGACTCCAGCTCAAATTTATGATTATAATCACAGGTGTTAATGGTTTTCTTGATTGTAACAAAGCCAGATAGGGTATTGCATTTGGGAACAAGCATGGGGGGACCTATAGACATTGACTGGGTAAAGCAAATTAGGTGGATATGGGAACATAGATGGGGTTGGTGTGGGAGAGACACAGCAGGTATTATCTCTCCACTGAACCCACTAAACCAGGGGTAGCCACTCCACCGGGTAGTGGGAGTGTTCCAGATTCTCCCGCAAACTTAAATGACCTGCCTTGAGAACTTGAGAACTACAACTAGAAGAACTGCTAATATGCTAACTATACAATGGAACCGCTGAAGAAAGAGAGGAGCATACTAACAACTGTCATGGGCGGTAAAAAGGAACCCACTGGAGGGGGTGGCAGGCCGACAGGAGTATATATGCATACATATGCAGGTACAACTCCAGAGGGCTCCCTTGCCAGTCCAATGGGTACCACTGAAGGAAAACCTTCTGACAATCGTGCACACCTACATGGAATGGACATGAACAATCACTCAAAGAAGAACTTTGACAAACCAGACTCCTGAAAGGGGTACAGTAGTCTGGACAGGTTGAGAGCCACTGTCCTAGGCAGCATGTCTAGCAGATGAGGCAAAACAAGTTCTCTGTTTGCCATAGCTTCTGTCCTGTGCTAAACTTGTCATAGCTGTAAGTTACTCCTTCTGTAGTCAGTTCTGTTCAGGTTTTTACAGCATGCCTATCACGATAGCATTGTATCTTATACTATGCCCAGATCCCAGGTATCTCCATCATAAGTGGAACAATTGCTTCCATGAAAGGAAGAGAGGCTATTCCATGATATTGCCTTACCTGTGGCAAACTTCTTCACCTCCTCGCTTGCCATTGAGTCAAAAACCCGGACCTCACTGATATAGTCTTGCTTGCACAGCAGCTCCACAATATGCTCTCCAATGAAACCACAACCTCCTGTCACCAGGTACACCAGCGTTTTATCCATCTTGCAGCATTTGTGGTAGCGAGGTGCGTCCAGAGTCTTCTAAAGCCTTTATAGGGCTCTACCTCTTAGCAGGTTTGTTTAAAGTACAAAGTCTAATATGTAATTATTATCTAAAGTTTAATTGAACATTAACTAAATAAAAGTGTGTGTAAGTGGAAATTTGAACCATCTCACATCTCAGATGCTACAATACTACGCGTGGTTAAGCACTGGGCCTTTGGACTCAGCCTGTTTCTCTCATAGGGTATGTCTACACTACAGCACTAATTCGAACTAACTTAATTCGAATTAGTTAATTCGAACTAAGCTAATTCGAACTAGTGCATCTAGACCTAAAAACTAGTTCGAATTAGCGTTTTGCTAATTCGAACTAGCATGTCCACATTGAGTGGACCCTGAACCGAGGTTAAGGATGGCTGGAAGCAGTGCCGGCAGGGCATCAGATGAGGACTTAGAGCGTGGAGCTGCTGTCTCAGGCTAGCCGAGGGCTGTGCTTAAAGGGACTCAACCCCCACCCCGGACAGACAGTTCTCAGGGGTTCCCCGCTCGCTTGTCTAACTTGATGAGGGACAGCAAAGCAGTCCTGGCTTGGAGTGCCCTGAATGTCCACACTCGGCACATCACAGCACTTGGCCATCAGCCCGGCTGCACTTGCCGCAGGCTGCCATCCAGGGGGGAGGGGGGCAATTGGGGGGCTGCAGGAGAGCTTCCATCCCGAGGAGCCCGCAGAGCCATCCCAGTCTCCCCATCGGGGGCTCGTGCCCCATTCCTCCCTCACCTCCTTCCATTTACCCCTCCCTAGCCCCCCTTCCTGATGTACAAAATAAAGGACACGTGTGTTC